CTCCGCCCCCAGGGGCGGGATTAGTGGTGTCCCGCCCTCCTCCCCCCGGCGGGCTCCCGTTATGGCGGCGCCGCGGGGTCCCGTCCCGGTGCTCCGGGCGCGGCTCCCACGTCGGGCCCCTTGCGCGGGGAGGCCCGTGCGGAGCGGCCCGAGGGCGGGCATGGTCCCTGTCCCGGTCAACGCGGCCCTTGCGGGGGCCTCCGCCCCCTGCGTGGCGCTTTGCGGACCTGAGGTAACGCGGGGCCCGAGCCGGGCAGTCCCGCTCCCGAGGGCGTTTGGTCCCCAGGGTCTCCCCGCAGAGTGGAACCTGTAAAAAATATATATGTGTGGGGCTATGCATTTATATTATGTATGCACTGTATATTATACACATATATGCATTATACATACATGGCATGTTATGCAGTATTGCACTTGTTTTACATTATGCACTTTCTGTTTTTATATATAGGTATATTTTCACAAATGCACTGATGTGTCTGTGTATCTATAGTGTGTGTGCATATAGAACTGGCGTCGTTTCTAAGGAATGTATATAGATAGAGGGGTTTTTTGAGTTGCTCCCTTGAGGCCAAGGCCACATCCCTGTCTCCCTTCCCAGTTTGATCCCCAAACTGGGAGGCAGGTGGGGTGGGGGAGGCTCGTTACAGGGAGGCTCGTTACACGGTGCTAATTGCTTGTGCTTCTCTGTTTCCTCCCTCCCTTTCTCTTCCCTGCATGGCTTGGAGCAGCTTGGTGTGGCCGCGGCCCCTGGGAAGCATGAAGTGCCCCAAGTGCCACTTCGTCTCCAAAGACGCCTCTCCCCGATTCTGCAGCAACTGCGGGGCCCCGCAGCCCCCCGGAGCCAGCGCGGGGCCCCCGGAGCCAGGTAGGAGGGTGATGCTGAAGCCTGAGGGCAGTGGCTGGTTCCTGCTCCAGGCCTGGTGCTTGCTTGGCTTGCCTGAAGCTTTCCCCGCTTTCCAGTCCCTGGAGGGGGTAGGGAGAAGGGTTGTGGTCACTGAGACGTCCCATGTGTGCGCTCCATGTGCCAGTGCTGAGCTGGGTCCTGTTTTGCCAATGAACTGGTGCGTTTCTGTGGAATACTGCACTGCAAAGGCTGGTTCAGTTCCCGCTGATCCAGGATTTTCTGCCCTCTTAGTGCCATCAGGTTTACAACTTGCTGCCTGAACTTTTGTCTCTTCCAAGAACACCTGAAAGAAATCGGTGCCCTCAGGTGTTAACTGATCTCTTCAAAGAGGTTAAGTGCTTCTGCTCTCAAACACAGGGCAGGGGCAGTGCCCAAGAGACTGAGAGACAGACCTGTAGCAGGTGGAGATGTGCTCTGAGGCTTGCTTCAGATCTGAGCTGCCTTTGCACAGAGGGTTTTAAGCAGGATTAAGATAATTGACACCTTAACACAGTGGTTTCTTATCTTAATTATTCTGCTACTGCGTGCAGGGGCCTGGGAGAAGGAAAGGGAAGGAAAGAGGCCCAGCTGGGCTTGGAGATGGTGTTTTTGCTAGCGGTGACTATTGAAGAGGAATCAAAGCAGCTCTTGTGTGTCGAGCTGGTGCGTTTAGCGAGCAGGAGGCCCCGCTTGCTGAACACTGTTCTCCGTGCTGACAACAAACCTTGCCTCCCTGCAGGAGGAGGCGCGAAGGCAGCTCCGCTCCCGGGCGCAGGAGCGGAGCCCGGAGCAAGGCTGAGCGGAGCCGCCGCGCCGGGAACGTCGCCGCCGGAGAGGGGGAGAGCCCGGGGCGCCCCCGCTGAGGCTGCTCATGAGGGCCCTGCAGGCCGGTCGCCTCCTGCCAGCGAGGAGGAGGAGGAGGAGGAAGGCACGTCGCTGCGGCCGGGCGCGGGGCCACCAGAAGGCTCCTCGCGGAAGGCGCAGCGCAAGGTGAGGAGCTGGCTTGGGGACAAGAGCAGCGGCGGCTGCTGGCGGCAGCTGCTGCTCCATCTCCCCTGATGCCATGAGACAGGGTCACGTCATCACTAATCCCTTTTGCCCAAATCTGACACTGTTTCTAGGCAAGCTCTGGATACCTTTTCGCAGTCTAAGTGTTGTGTGTGGGCTGCTGAGCGCTGCCTCTAGCAGCACTTTTGTTGCACTGATGGAAGCATTACAGGAGACACCTTTAGTGCCTGGGTTGATTTAGGCTGGTATCTTCTTGCGTCATGCTTAGAGCTGCCCAGAAATATCCCGTTCTGCATTACCTGTGAGAAAGCCATAGATATTAAAAATACCTAATTCTCGATGATTGCTTACATTTGACCTAATCTCCTTTTGGCAACTTTAATTAGAGAATTTAATTTTTTTTTCTTTTTTTCTTTTTTTTTCTTTTTTTCTGAGCAGCTGTTTTCTGTTAATTTATGACTTAAACAACTTTGTAAGAAAATATTAAAATTTTTGAGATTCCCAAGAGTTAAGAAGGAAGCATTATTGTTATTTGAACCAGCTCAGCAAATCTCGCTTATGTGGAATCTGCAAGGCTGCAATTCAGAATTTACTGCATTGATTTTTCATGGCTGCTGGGGTTCAGTTCTTTGGACTATGGTTCGTGATTCTTCCTCCATCAGCGCTGACAATCCTTATCATTTTCAGAACATGTCCAAGCTGGCATGTGTCAGTACAGCCTTCAGCAGTGTCACTTTTTCTTGCTGTCCCCTCTTCCTTCATCCGTGCTGTGCAGCTGCATGGGGAGCCATTGAGCAGTTGGGTTAACTCCCACCCGGTTGTTCTTAAGACACATCAGGTCTCCAGCCTAGTTAATGACAAGATAGCAGAACTTGCCCGAGGTGCCACATGTGGCCTAGTCCCCTCAGCATTTCGGTTTCTCTTGGCATAGTTGCTGCCTGCAGACCAACTTTCAGGCCAGGGACTCGTGCTCA